CTCCAGCCCCCAGAGAAATCCCAGTCGGCCTGTTCTCCCTGCGCCGCACCAGCCTGCCCTGCCCCCCAGCAGCCCCGGCGAGACCAGCCTCAGCTGCGCCCGGCCTGGCCCATACTGGCCTCTCGAGGTCACGTCCCTTGGCCACACTCACCGTCCTTGAAGGAGCCCTTGTGTGCACGTTTCCGCCCCAGCGTCCTCTGTGCAGACAAGAGACACGGAAACAGGGCCGTCAGTGGGGAGGAGGGGCAGGTGTGAGTCCACAGCAAGGCCACCCTGGGGGCCCGGAGATCTCATAGCACCACATGTGAAGGCATGCTCAACAGGAGGGGGCCCCTGCTGGGCACGTGGAAGGTGCTCGATAGACGTCAGCTCCACAAGGAATGCACGGCCACCAAGCAGAGGCTAGGCCAGGTAGGGCAGGGTGACCGAGAGCTAGGCGGGTCCAGGAGGGCTGCCTGGAAGAGGCAGGCAGGCCTGAACTAATCAAGAGCGGTGCTCGGGACAGCACGGTGTTCCGACTGGGTCTAGAGAGAAGCCCAAGCGAGGCCGGAAGGGTGTGGTTGGAGGGGGCTCAGAAGGCCCAGGGTGGGAGCCGGGGCCACACCGGGGGAAGCAGAAAGGGCAGGGACTGGCAGGTTAGTGTCGAGCTCCCAGCACAGGCCTGGGGTCCCAGCAGCTGCTGGCAGGGCTGCAGAGGCAGGTGGGGGCGGGCAGGGTCTTCAGGCACCCCCGGCCCCGGCAGCTGGCCGCACAGAGCCTGCCCTCTTGGCCGGGACACGGTTTTTCCCGACCTCGGGGCTATGCAGGTTCCGGGAAAGGGAGAGGTTTCTTCAACAAGTTGGGGCCTGAAAACTCCCCTTGTGGGTCTGGAATGTGTGGCGCTCCCCCCACACTGGGCCCTGCTCCCCCGCCCCGGGCCCCGGGCCGCCGCCCCCAGCACCCCTACCCCTCCTGCCTCTGGGTCTGGGCACCTACCCAGCGTTCACCCTCTGCTTTCTGCCTCTGGACCACCTCCGTGCCCCTGCTCGGAGTTCCTGGGGAGCCCCTCCTCCGTGCTCTGCTGGCCCCCCAGGCTCCCCCAGCCCAGACCGGAGCACCCCGGCGCACGCCTGCCCCCTCCCTGCCCTAGGACCTCGCTGGGGGCCACCTACAGGGGTGCCCTCGGCACCCCGGCTCCAGCTGCGCAGGAAGTCAGGAAACGTCTGATGCGAGGGAGTGAGGTGGCAGCTGGACGGGCCCTGGGTGGCTGCAGTGTGCCTAGGTCCTGAGGCAGCTTCTGGGGCCCGGGCATCTCAGGGAGGCCTGGCAGGAGCCGCGCGCCACCTCCAAGGCCACGGGCATCTGAGGACTGCGGCCAAGGTGGTCCCCGGGGGTCCCCTCTGCACGTACTCCGACGGGTGGGCTTGGCTTCTCCTCCGCCCGCGGCCACGGCTCCCGGTCCCGGTGACAGCCCCCGGAGAGGCGGCCACCGGAACATCAACTCTGGGCACGGGGGCCCCTTCCCACCAGCCCTGTGCCCGGCCCGTTCTCTGGAGAGCACCGAGGTAAGAGTGGCTTTCGGGCAGGGCGGGGAGGGCGTGCACGCAGAGAGGGCGTCACGCGTCTCCTGAGTCCCCAACCTGGGGGGCCCCTCGGGCAGACCCACCGAAGCCAGGTGCTGCTGTGAGGTCGGCACTGAAACTCGTCCTTCAGACAGGCCGGCTCCCCTCGGGGCTCAGAGAGAGAGGCTGCCTTCGGGACGCTCCGCTCCTCGCTGCAGCTGAGAGCGGGGACCCCCGAGCCCGGGGTCCTACGGAAACCCCCCGACCTCGCCGAGCCTCGACTGCCTCATCTATAAAGCAGGCACACTCACACTCCACTCGCAGCCTGCCCATCAGACCGAACCAGATACGCGTCAGGACCCTGCGCGAAGTAGGTGCTCACTGAATGGCAGCCGCATGAGACAGGTGACGGTGGCGGTGACAGCGAGGGTGACAGTGAGCCTCCGTCTGTGCCTACAAGCTCCCGAGGCCCCTCGCGGCACGGCCCCCGCCCCGAAGTCCAGGCGGCACGGCCCCTACCTTATTCTTGGCCGGGCACCGAGCGGGAGGCTGGCTGGGCTCCTCCGCCAGGGCCTGGAGCTTGGGGCTGAGCTGGAGGGGGCCCCTCTCCCCGCCCGGCGCCTCCAGGCCCTTCATGGCCGCCCGGTAGGATCGGTTCCGTAGGTTCCGTCTCAGCGCCCCCCCGGGGCCCGCGTCCACGTCCATGTCGTCCAGGGAGAAGCTGGGGGCTGACAGGAGCCGGGGGTCCCGCCGGGCGGCCTCCTTGCTGAGCACGGCCGCCCCGAAGCTCTGGTGGCGGGCCGGGGTCTTGGCCTTGCTCGACACGGCCAGGCTTCTGGGGATCAGCTGCTGAGTGCCCATCTTGAGGGCCGCGGGGCTCTGCGTGCTCAGGACGACAGCCCGTGGCTCCTCGTCCTTAGGGGACACAGCGGGGGGCACCGGGGTATCGAGCTGGAAGCCTTCGTTGTCCCTGAGCTGCAGGGCGCCCCGCACCATGGGGAGCCCGGATGCTGGGTTCCCTCTGGCATCGAGCCGCAGCTCGGAGTGGAAGCGGTATTCCAGCAGCTTCTCTTCCAGGGAGCTGTCCGAGTGTCGCTGGGACATGCTGAGTGGCCACGGTGTCCTGGGGCGAGAGGGCAAAGGTGAGGGCAGGTGGACATGCACACCCTGCAGCCCTCCTGCCCGCGGGCCCTGCCCACCGCCTCTCAGCGCCTGCCCGGCCAGGGACCCCGCTCGGGATGCAGGGCCCGGAGGCTGGGAGGGGGGTGTGCGGGGGGCGGGAGGCTCAGGCCTGCCGGGACCCAGCTGCTGGGACCGAAGCGGAGGACAGGCAGCCCCCCACCCCCCCCACCGTGCTTCCTCTGGTGGGTGCCCACGCCGAGGACGGACCCCCAGGCCGGGGGGTGCAAGCGTGCGGCAATGAGGGGCGCGTGGCCCCCGGGCCCTGCCAGCCCGAGCCGGGTCGGACACTGGGCATCTTGGCACCACCTCCTCCTGGTCGCCGTGAGCACCGCGAACAAAGCTGTCTGTGGGGCTCCCGGGACCCCGGCCTCCACCGCACCCCCACGTTCCAGAGCATGCAGGGCCAGCCTCCGCCGTGCTGGGGGAGGTCGTGTCAGCTCGCTCACTCGCGGGACACGCCAGCCGTCTGTGTTCTCGGTTTGCAAACGAAGACACGAGGCCCCGAGAAGCCCAGGAGCCCCCGGGGTGTGGGACGCGACGCGTGGGAAACTGGGGGCTGACCCCTGGCGTATGTGACCCTCTCTCTTCACCGCTGCGTGGTGATTCCCGCGTGGCTGGCTGTCTAGGTGGCCTTTCTGCGTGTGCAGTGACACGCCCGGACTTTCCCGCATTCACGGACTCTGAGCAGGGCCGACCGACCCCGTCTCAAGAGCCCACTGGGCACGGTCCCTCTATGCCTGGATGCAGAGGGGGGAGGGGGGCGTCTGCAGACACCCGGGGCCCACAGCCCCCGCTCAGTCTCCCTGCATCCCGTGGATGCCCGTCCCTCCGGGGACCCCGAGCGCCTCACACGTGCAGAGCCCCGCCGACCGGCGTGGGGCTGGTTCTTCACCTCGGTCTGGCTCGTGCCGGGCCGAGGGCGCACGGCCCTGCGGTGTGGACGGGCCCGCCGCTGCCTTTCCACTGTGAGGGCCCACACAGGCCTCCCAGCCACCGGCTTCCGGCCAGCGACCGTCACATCCCTCGGCTCTTTTCTGCGCCTTCCGCTCAAGATCGGCAACGTGGGCAGAATGGTGACAAAGCCTCGGGAGCAAGGCTCCCGCTCGCAGGAGTCGAGTGCTGCCGCGGCCCGGCCCTGGGCTGCGGGGCTGCGAGGAGCGACGCCCCAGCCGCCGGGCAGAGCCATGGCCACAGCGACCCGCGCTGACCAGGGCAACAGTCAGGGTCGGGAGGACCTTGGAGGCCTGCGGGAAACGCACTCCTTTGCACCTCCTCCTTTCAACGTTAACGCAAGCAAACAGAGCCGCCGCTCCTGTGCTTCTTGTAGACACGGGGCTTGTGCACACGAGGGTGGAAGCCCATTTTTCAGGCGGAAAAATCAAGTCTCCGAATCTGCAGCCCAGGTGGCTGAGACTCCGCGCCCAGCTTCCGCGCGGCATCCTTTGCCACGTTCCCTGCCGATCTGGGAAGGAACGGAGACGCAGTTTATCCGACAGCTCCGTGGGAGTGAGGCGGTCACCTGCCCTCTCCTGCCCCGGGGGGGCGGAGGGGGGCGCGCAGCCAGAGGTGCCCGGGCCTGCGCCAGGCCTCCCGGGCCTCTGGAGTCGACGGCTCCCTGGACCCCAGGGACACCACTGCCATCCGTCCCAGGACACGCCAGGCAGGTCCCAGCCTCAGCCTACCTCCCACACTCCCCGCCCAACCCTGCATCGGAAGTTCCCGGCCTGGCCTCGGCTCCAGAACCCCTCCCTGAGGGGCAGCCGGGCCCCAGAGGGCCCTAAGCCACAGCACCGGCCGGGGTGACAGGAGCAGCCGGGAGCCTGGCTGCCTGTGCTCCGACCCCCAGCACACAGGGTCTCTGCTGAAGCCATCCCAGAGAGGCGAGTGTGGCTGCCTGAGGAGCCCTGGCCGCCCCCACCCCGGGAGGACTGCCCACACATTCCTGGGGACATTCTGAGTCGCAGGCAGCCAGCGGCGGGCGGTCCCCCACCCTGGCTCACCCACCCCCACGTAAACTTTGCATTCACCCAGGCCTGGCCGAGAAAGGGGTTTCTGGTAGACTTTGACCTCTATGCAGGCCAAGCAAAGTGCCCCCGAGTGGGGAGCCCGAAGGCTCGGTCAGTCCTCTTAGTCTGGGAGGCGTTTACCGTGGGGGCATTTCACCTCGTCGCCCTGAAAACCGGCACCGTGACTGTGCCTTCCACCTGCCCCATCCCCCGTCCTCCCCCTCCCCTTCCCCACCTCAGGCCCTAGGCCTGGGTCTTCTGGGCCCAGACCCTGGACCCGGACCCTGGACCCCAGACCCCGGACACAGCCAGTAGCAGGGCTGCTCCCAGCAGGGGGCAAAGTCTACTCTGGGGACAGGAGGTGCCCCAGCAGGAACCTGTCGGGTGAGCCACTGCTGGGTGTGACCTCCGTTCTCAGTAAGGTGGCCGCACCCACAGGCCTGGAGTGCCACCCGCGCGGGGACCGAGGCCCGAAGAGGAGTGGATGCCATCCCAGGGCTCTGCTGGACCT